AAAAAAAAAAAAAAAAAAAAGATCCTTAGATGATTCATTTGCCCGTTCAAATTTCAAAACCCCTGCTATAATGGAGGATATAGAAGGAGCACCTCACACACATACTGTACCTAGAATTAAATTGAAGCCTGGCCTTTCCCAGGGCTGATGGGTCAAGGCAGTCATTGATGGTTTTTCATTTTTCTTTCTCTCCTATGCTAACCACAGCTGAGAAGAAATGGCTTTGGAAAGAATGGCTTTTTGCAGCGCCGCTGTTCCAGCCTGTTCTCCCCTTGGCGAAGCACTTGTAAAGCAGAGTTTGAGGCTTCAGACACAGAAACCAGTAGCAGTGAAACATCAGATGATGATGCCTGGAAATAGGCATATAAATGCTCACAGTAAAATCTGACCCAGTGAGCTCTGTTTAGGGAGTATGCAAAAGAAAGTGTTCTTTTCCTTTATGTTACTACTTCATGCACAAGGGAAATGATCATATCCCAAAGAGAGCGATTGGCTTGTTTAGCTTTTGTGTTCTTTTCTGTTATCTGCTTAATAGAGAAGTTTGTGTGGTAGGAAAGATTTTTAAAATACACACACAGTATATATGGGGCAATGCACGGGTAGAAGCTGGCAATGCAGAGAAGAGAACGCTGTTCTGGGGCAACAGCTTCTACTACCAGCCCTTGGGGCACTCACCCCTGTGCTCAAGCAATCATTGTCAATGACAAAGTGACTGTTGAAGTTATAATTGTATTAAATTAATGCTAATAATTTGGATATTTTATTTTATTTTTGGCTGCTGGGGTAACTTTAGCCCTTAACCAAGCATATGTGGGTTTTATTTTTTTTTCTTTTTCCTCTTGGGTACAGCTGTAAAAAATTTGGATATAGGAAATGTGTTATTCTTGCAGCCTTGATATTCAGGGTGGATTGTAAAATATAAATTTTTGTGAGATTTCAAAGATTAAGATTATTTTGATAACATTATTTACAGATTTAAAAAAGATGTGGTTATCACAAGTCTGTTAAGGGGGAAAACTACTGCATAAAATAACTAACTTGGAATAAATATTTTGCATCAGTTTGCACTGTCTTGTGTAAAGAGTATATTTTCTTTAGCTTTATGTAGCATTTACTGTAAATATCACTGGATTCTTAGTTTCAGGCTTTTTCAAATTAAAAGGTAACAGTGTCTTGCAAGTTGTCCCAGCAATTTGGAAAATGATTACAACCATATTAATTTCTAGAATGAGGGGGAAAAAGTAGAACCATCAAATTTTAACAACTAAAAACTTTTTATAGGCTCTAAAGGTAATTGTTACCCTTAAAACAAGCAAAAAGGCTTGAAGCCTGTGGCTCAAGTGGCTAAGGCGCCAGCCACATACACCTAAGGTGGCGGGTTTGAATCTAGCCCGGGCCCGCCAAACAACAATGATGGCTGCAACCAAAAAATAGCCGGGCGTTGTGGTGGGCACCTGTGGTCTCAACTACTTGGGAGGTGGAGGCAGGAGACTCACTTGAGCCCAGGAGTTGGAGGTTGCTGTGAGTTGTGATGCCACAGCACTCTACACAGGGGGACGGCTTGAGGCTCTGTCTCAAAAAAAAAAGGCAAGAAAAGAAACCTTAACCAAGGAAGAACTTGGACATGGGAAAAAGATTCACAATTAATTCATACTGCTTTATTCATTGTTCATGCACATTAAAAGTACTTTAGAAATCTTGTTTTTTTGATCTCCATTTACAAAGAATGAGAAGAAAATTGGCCAGTGTTTGCCATCTAGGTTTCTTTCTCTCTGGAGTTTTCAGTAGTAAGCACATTAAATAAGAGTCTGTTTTCTAAACAACAAAAAGTCTGGCTTGTTCAAAGTCTAGACTAGAGGAAGTCAGTTTTCTAAGGCAGTCTCCATCAAACACCTGAGCTGGATGGCTAACACCAAACATGCAAGAAGTGATGTTAAAACAGTAGTTTTCACAATCAGCTACACGTCACAGTTGCTGCGTTAATGTGATCTTTAAGTATCAGCAATGATGAAAGACTTTAATAATAGTTAATACCAAATTTCACCAGAATTACTAGCATAAGGTGACCAGACGTCCCGCTTCTGGTGGGACAGTCCCAGTTTCTAATAATTTGTCCCACGTCCCACAGTGCTTTAAAAAAAGTCCCGCTTTTTGGAAAGAATGCACAACAATCTAGGGAATGGCAGGACAACAGGAAGGGAATATACGGTTTACGGCTGCTGAAAAGGTTAATGTAACTCCATTTGGGAATGAAGAGGTTAATGTAACTTCATTTACAAATGAAAAGGCTAATGTAAACTCCCTACTCCCCTCCTGGGCAAGGTCACCCAGGTGGATGGGGGCCCTACTCCTTTGAGCCACAGATGCGGCCCTATACATAATTTTTTTTTAATGTATTATATTTGTAAATTGTACTTATGTTGAAATTTTTTTAAAAAATTACTATTTTTGCGTTCTATGAAAATTTTTATTTGGTCCATATAGACCAAATTTTTAATCAAGAACACACCCCTCCTCTGTCCCACCCCCAATCAATGGTGTCCTGCTTTACCAATGTTAAAATCTGGTCACCTTATACTAGCAGCGATGTTTTGGACAACATGTAGAATTTCTCCTCATTAAATATACATCATAGTGATTAGACTACCTTTCAGTGTAAAAGAATTCACCTCAAAACTGCACAGATACTTAAAAGCTTAAAAAGCTCAGGATATGTCCAGGTATTGTGGTTCACACCTTTAATCCTAACACTTTGGGATGTTAAGGCAGGAAAATAGTTTACAGTCAGGAGCTTGAGACATGCTGAAGCAAGAGTAAGACTCCTTAGCTACCAAAAATAGAAAAAAATAACTGGGCATGGTAGTGTGTACCTATATAGTCCAGCTACTCAAGAGGCTGAAGCAGGTGGATCACTTGTGCCCAGGAGTTTGAGGCTGCATTTAGCTATGACGATGCCACTGCACTAAGCTGGGGTGACAAAGACTGACCCTGTGTTAAAAAACTAAACATGATAGTTAAGTATGAGTTTTCAAATCTTAAGCAGTTTTAAGATGACACAATGTGAAGATTTAATGTGGAATGAAATGTAACCATTCTGTGTTCTGAAAAGTTGACTATCCTACTTCAAAGAACCAGAGTAAAAGTATCAAAGAAAATGCTTAGCCAAACATCTAATGCCAAATTTTCATTCACACTTTCAGGAGCTAAGTGGGCACAGGCAAAGCACATTACCTATCTCTTGGAAAGAACTTAGCACACATCCTTTTAGTAGATTACTGGTCTACAGGAAGAAGATTTCATGGACCTGATGGAAACCAATGTGTTTTTTTTTTAAACAATTTTTCTACTCTAAAAGCAAACACACTAAAAGAATAGAAGCACTATTTACACACAGCACCGTTCTGTCATCAAATTAAGATGTAGATAGATCTGCTGGCTAGAAATCAAAGAGTAATGTATTTCAACCTAAAACCTGACTACTGTACATCATCAAGACTTATAGTTTTGTAGAAGAAAAAAAGCGAGTGGGGGCAACATGTCTAATCCTAATAATGGTCCCATCTCAGTTGGCCAAATGATCACAATTTTTGCTAAATGAAATTTCAGATTATAAATTCTAAACACTGCCAGCTATTATTGAAGCAACAAAAATCCACAATGGGCATATGCCACAGGCCAGAGTGTACCAACTGCCAAGTCTACCTTAGATGTTCTAAGAAAAACTTGCAAGACAATCTTTGGGTGGCACCTATGGCTCAGTGAGTGCGGCGCCATCCCATATACCAAGGATGGTAGATTCAAGCCTAGCCTCTGCCAAACTGCAATAAAAAAATAGCCAGGTGTTGTGGTGGGCACTTGTAGTCCCAGCTACTCAGAAGGGTGAGGCAAGAGAATCATCTAAGCCCAAGAGCTGGAGGTTGCTGTGAGCTGTGATGCCACAGTGCTCTACTGAGGTTGACAAAGACTGTCTCTTAAAAAAGTGACAATCTTTGACTCAAACATAACTACACATTGCATTGGCTCTTAATCTATTGGAATGTATTTGAACTGTTAAATAAATGCCTAGCTGATAATTTTTTTTTTTTTTTTTTTTTTGAGACAGAGCCTCAAGCTGTCCCCCTGGGTAGAGTGCCGTGGCATTACAGCTCATAGCAACCTCCAACTCCTGGGCTCAAGCGAGTCTCCTGCCTCTGCCTCCCAAGTAGCTGGGACCACAGGCGCCCGCCACAACGCCCGGCTATTTTTTGGTTGCAGCCATCATTGTTGTTTGGCAGGTCCGGGCTGGGGATTCGAACCCGCCACCTTAGGTGTACGTGGCTGGCGCCTTAGCCGGTTGAGCTATAGGCGCCGAGCCCTAGCTGATAATTTAAAAAGGAAAAAGCAACCCTTGCCCAGTCCAGGTAGTTCTTAAATATCACAACTTACATGAAGGTGATCCTGAACTAAAATACAAGTTTAATTTTTCAGGAACTATAAAAGTTCTAGTTTTCATTATACATGTAATTAAAAGTACTGAAATTCATTTTCAAGGATATAGAAGGAGCCCCTCACACACATACTCTACTCTTTATAGTCTTTAACAAACAAAACTACACATAAGAAACAATTAGTTTTGGCTGGGTGCCCATAGCTCAGTGGGTAGGGCACCGGCCACATGATCTGGGGCTGGTGGGTTTGAACCCAGGCCCAGGCCTGCAAAACAAACAAAATAGGCAGGCGCATGCAGTCCCAGCTACAGGGGAGGCTGAGGCAAGAGAACTGCTTAAGCCCAAAAGTTGGAAGTTGCTGTGAGCTATGACTTTACAGAACTCTACCGAGGGTGACATAGTAAGACTCTGTCTCAAAAAAATAATTTTATGCTGCCAGACGGAATCGAGAAAAAGTTAATGAGCATAGAATGAAAATAGGCCCCACCTAACCTTAAGAGAATACTGAATCGTAAGCATCTGTAGCCATTTAAAGGCATTTGGTATCAGTATATTAAAAGATTAAGATGCTTGTGGTCGGGCGTGGTGGCTGCACCTATAATACCAGCACCCTGGGGAAACCAAGGTGGGAGATCTCTTCTGCTCAAGAGTTCAAGACCAGCCTGAGTAAAAGCAAGGCCCCTATCTCTAAAGATTAAGATGCTTTAAACACTTATAATAACATCAAATATTTAGAGAATTATTTTTATAAATAATCCAATGTCTATGGCTTCAACTGTCTGCCCTACTGCCGAGGTAGGTGACCAATAATCAAAATAAAACAATCATTTAGAAATCCCCCCCCCCCAAAAAAACCTTGGATAATCAGTTGGTTTCTTGAATCTGGGTGTCCAATTTCCTCTGGTTATTTCTGGTCTTCATTTTTGTTTCTGTCATTTACCCTTTTTTAAAGAGAGGCTGTCCACACGACTGTTTCTTTAAGCTCTGGCCGAGTAGCACCTCATGTATTCTGTCATCCATGGATTCTCGGAGGAGGAAGACGACTTCATCCTTCTGTTGACATCCACAGAATGAGCACGTTGTCTTTGGGCAACTAGTTTCCTTTTCTCCAGCTGTCTTCTGTTCTTGGCTCGCAAGGCTGACGCATGAATCTCATGTACAGGGGCAGATGCACGCACGTTGTGAGTTTTTTGGCTTCCTGTATCAGTCTGTTTTTCTCCCCACCCATATAGAGCAAACGGATGCTTCTTTTCTTTTATTTTGCCTGATGATTGCTGGGAACTTGTGACTGCTTCCCTATTTCCCCCGGCAAATAAGGCACTTCGGTGCTGTTGAGCTTCGATACTGGAAGGTAATTTTTCAGTCTCTCCCGTTCTGATTTGTTGTTCAGGTTTTCCTTGAACCTCTTTCAATGGCAGTAATGGCAGAGCCGCGTCCTCGGCGTCCTGGGCCTCTGCGCCCTGCTCCTCCGGGATCCCGTGCAGCAGCTGTTCCGTCTCCTCCCGCGCCGCGCTCTCCACAGGCGATGCCGGGGCGCACCTGGGCGCGGGGCCCCAGCCGCGCGACGATTCCGACGACGCTGAGTCGTCCGAGGAGCTGGACGGGCCCCAGTCGTCCCAGAGCCAGGGCGCATGCGTCTGCTCCAGCAGCCGGCGGCCCAGGCGGTAGTGCAGCAGCTCGCGGTAGCACGGCCCGTACTCGTCCCAGCGCGGCTCCCGGTAGCGCTTCATGTACTCGCTCTTCACCCCGCTCCCCGGGGACATGATGCCGCCCGCACCCGAGTGCCCGCCGCTCTGCTCCGCACCGCACGGCCGCCCACGGGACCCGGGACACGACACAGAGGCCCGCCCCTCCGGCCCGCCCCGCCCGCAGTGACGTTTTCAAGAAGTGTATTTTCAAAATTAGATAGATTCTTTTCTAAGGGAAATATAAGTACAAGTCTCGGGGAAGGCCGGGCGCGGTGACTCACGCCTGTAATCCTAACACTCTGGGAGGCCGAGGCGGGTGGATTGCCTGAGCTCCTGGGTTCGAGACCAGCTGGGCGTTGTGGCAGGCGCCTGTCATCCCAGCTACTTGGGAGGCTGAGACAAGAGAATCTCTTGAGTCCAAGAGTTTGAGGTTGCTGTGAGCTGTGAAGTTACGGCACTCTACCAAGTGCAACAAAATGAGACTCTCTCAAAAAAAAAGAAGAAGTCTGGAGGAAATTTGAAGTCAGACACACATTGGTTTTATTTTTAGCGGATAATTTTTTGATGCAGAAAAACTTGTGCAGGCTCGGCACCTGTGGCTCAAGTGGCTAAGGCGCCAGCCACATACACCTAAGGTGGCGGGTTCGAATCCCCAG